ATTTAGTTTATAGTATAATACTAGTAACACGAATTAGCAATAAATAACTGTCCAGCACTTGTTTCATTCACACATTAGTATGATACTGCTTTATAATTCATCTGCTCTACTAGCTTTATGTACTATAGTTTCCATTGTCTATAGCACATGATTGTGGACAAAATAATTTGACAGCTGGTAGAGAAGATAATGTCTGTAAACAATGACAAATAAAACACCAGTTGCATAAATATTGTTTTATTTTCAATCATAATAAAATATTTGACAGAAATTGTTCACTGTAAAATGATTTTAAAATATTTAAATTACTTTCCCATTCATCGTTTCTTGAAATTCTCATAACTACTTTATCTTTTGGAATCTATATCACTAAATAGCACATACCTTTATTTGTAATGTGTAACTGTCTTTGCACTTGGTGATAATAATTATAATTTTGATGAATGGTCCAGCAACAGTTATAATACGAAACGAGATAATTTTTATTTTTAGCGAGTACCTCTGACAAATTTTCTTCATTCCTATGTTTGACTGACCAATAGTCATCTCTACAACTTTCCTTATAATATCTGCACTCAAACAAGATTTCTGTAAAAAGTAATTTTCTTTATTAGAGGTTGTTGTGTAGCTCAGGAATGTCTTTGGTCAAATATACTCCTAAGAATCTACCAGAGTCTGTCAGCTTGATTTCTACCCTATCAGCTAAGTGGATCTTCGTAGCTTCCAATTTTTTCTTTAACTTGAATATTATCGCATTTGTTTTTGATATGTTCAAGGATAGACCGTTGCGAGCAAACCACCAAAATGCTTTCTCGCATATGCTCAATGTATTTTCGGCTACTTGGTTGAAATCTTGGCCAGCTATAATCACACTAGTATCATCTGCATATTGAATAGTACATACATTATTCGGGTTTGCTATGCTATCACTCAGATCATTTATAAACATCACAAAGAGGAGAGGACCCAAGACGCTTCCTTGTGGGATACCTCTATCTATTGTTAACTGCGATGAGACTGCTGTCCTGCCATTCTTTATGATGGAAACACTTTATTGGCGGTCTGTTAAATAAGACTTGACCCAGTTCCAGGCACTTCCCCTGATCTCAAATGCCTCAAGTTTACAGTAAGACAGAATGTTCTACAAAATCATATGCTTTGGAGAGATCAAAAAACAAACCCAATGATATCATATTATTTTCCAGACATTCTATAATACTGTGGCTAAAGGAGTATATAGCCGTATTTATCGATTTCCCTTTTATAAAGCCATGTTGTGATTTAGCAATTAAGTTATTACAGAGCATGTGATACATGATTCGTGAATACATCACCAGTTCGAAAACCTTTGCAAAGAAATCCAAGAAAATAACAACTGTCTTCTAAAAAGGTATGCTACAAAAATGTTCTTACAAACTACTCGATCTTTATGTTATACAGCGGTTCCGCAAGGTCTAGATGTTAAACGGGATAATTTTGACAAAAATAGCACTAATTCTGCACCAATGTATACGCTACTAGGTTGAACTAAAACTCAAGCTTATGCTACTAGTTTATTCTGATATGAATAAAGCAACTTATTTAATTGATTGAAAAATTGATATGAGAAATGTGCGATGAATGATATTTCACTGATGTCTAAATAGCACTGTTTTTGTGTACATACATCTTATCCTTTCTTTTTTCGATTGATCCATTTTTTTCATCGTTTCATAATGAATCCGAATTTTGAAATATTTTTCTAAAATTAGCTTTATAATACTAAATGAATGTCCATCAATGGATGCTCAAACTTATCTAAAATTTTTGGAGGTACTATATAGTTTCCATTGTGTTTTTAATCAAAATAGCAGGAAGATATTTGACACATGTTTATTAAATATGTCTCTAGTTTTATGAAAAAATCTGAAATACTTTTCGGCAGCTACACAAATTTGGAGTATTATGTCTGAGGGAGTAGTTAATACTCCATATGTTTTTCTTTTTTGTAAATATTGATTATCACCTTCGAGTACTTTAGTACATTGACTGCAAGTTATGCATTTCAGAAAACTTCTCACCACATAGCCTGAAATATATCCAACTACATCTTCAACATAATCTTTTAAATTCCAGGCTTGTGATGAATAAAACTTATAAGTAGCAATATCATTCATAATTTTTTTTTCAAAATCCAAATAGGTTTCACTACTTTTCAAATCATTGCCACTATCATCCATTGTAACCTGATGCCCACTCCCACAAGTCAGAATGGTGAGATCTTTGATGGACACATTACCAGATTCTGGTCCTGTGACCTCTGTATGTATAAGGAGGCGCTTATAAGCCGCTTCAAAATGTGGCTGAAGGGTTATTATTAAATCCACCCTTAGCTCTTATAGCTCCGAAAAACTGCTCTAGATGATCTTGAGAAAATTTGTTAGTTAAAATATACTTTAATTGTTCCGAGTCTACCTCTTTGCCTTCTAATTGTGATTTTTCAACAAATTTTGAATAATATTGCCTCAAACTAGTGACGCTTATCAGAAATCCTAGAAAACCTGTTTTTCTAGGGAACTGAGTTACTGGAACATCAGCCAACTTCAAATTGCTAATGTATTGGCACATTTCATCCATATAACTAAAAAAAGTTTTTGCAGTGGCCTGTGATAATGGTCGCTTAAATATGTATTTAGCCAATCTATTTCTGGAATTAAAAATGTCGAATAGATTGTTAAATTTCAGGATAAAATCGGCTGTAGGTTTCGCATTTCTAAATGATGGTATTTTCAAATCTAGACTCAAATACATCAATGCATCAGCCACACTCTTGCTTAATGTCTGAGTGGCAATTTTTTTCACTTTTTTTCTCGAGTCCACTGTAAATGTCGGTTTCTGATTTTTGTGCCTAAATGTAGTCCCTCAAAATTTTGAATTTCTACGAGCTTTTCCAAAAAAGTCCAGTCTATGGTATTATATCATTGTCTATCAAATATTTTTGTGAGCCAAATGTATTTCTGACCAATTTCATCATGTGCGAAGGGTCCAAAAATATGAAAACCTTATTACCTGTTACTGGATGAGCAAAATGTGTTTTAAGGTTATTAATGTCCTTGAAATCTGCACCTAAACATGATGACATCGTAAAATTTACAGGAGCACCATCAAAAGTTATAGAGGTAACTATGACTCCTGACTCATGTACAAATGTGAGACATTTCTTAACTAACTCTGCTTTCTCAACACCAGTGAGGCCGTCCAAAAAAAAAATAACCCACAGGTAACTTCCATGAAGCATTTATACAAACAAGCATAAATACTAAAACTTCTTTGGCATGAGGTAGAACATCTGAATCAAATTTAGTTCCAATATCAATATAACCAGTGAATTTTGTCTCAGTCCATTCGACCTGCTCCCTGATAGACATTTCATGTAAGACCAGGTTGCACAGGATGTTCTGGTTTTTTGACGCTAACTTTTTTACTTTCAAAGCATTTAGTGCTTCTGAAGTAAAACCAGGAGAGCCATCAATTGACTGATACCATTTAGAAATCGTGGATGGATGAGGTAAAGATTTATTAAAAGTATTCCTTACGAACTGGTATGCTTTTGGGGAGTAAAAAGATAGCGTCAAAGCAAAACATCTAATAGATGGGTCATATTTTTGTGAAGATATATCGAATATTTTTTGTCCTGAGGTTGATAAAGAGGCCTAAAAAAATAAAAAGATGGGTGTAAGGTGTAATAGCACTGCTGCTCATTATTTTAGAGTTAAATCACCACATTCATCTTAAAAGGTTGACTTTGACTACCTTCTCCAGTCATTAACATACATTTAACTAGTTAAATTAAACAGGAATTGAAAACAAGTAAATTTATTACACATTCAATTCAAAAAAAAACATGAACCCTAAACTAAGTCTTTACTACTATCCAAAACTCAGTATGATTGATACCAAAGAAAAAAATTGAAATAATTTTACTTCTGTCCGTTATTATATATTATCTAATTTAGAGATTTTTACCTCAAGAACAGTCCCTGAAGAATTAGTTATATATGATTTTTCTTTAAGCAGCTTCATCAAGCCTCCTAATGTCTTGATTTTTTTCTTAAAGTATGTATTGCTAGCCTGAAGATTATGACTCTTCTTTCTCAGAGCAGTTATAGTATTCTTCATCAAATGAAAATTCTTCTTCGCCTTCTCTGGTGTAGAAAAGTCTGATGAAGATAGGTAACCCACATACCTTCTTTTTCTGAAACAATGAGATATGATTGGAATTCATCATATATGTGAAGCATATGTCATTAAAATCTTATTAGATCAGCTATTTTCTCAATATTTCTCACCTATTTTTACGTGCAGTTGCAAGA